AAAATGCTCTCTCCTCAGTTCAGTTCTCCGGCCTCCGACTTCACCTTGTTTTGTTTTTACTCTCTTCCTCTTCTAAGTTGCTGAATTTTCATTTCTGCCTTATATCTTCTGTGTCCTCTTTCATTGTCTTTCCTAATTATTCCCATGTTGTATTTTTTAGTATGACATGGTTTTTAAATGTGAAATTTTTTTGTCTCATCTCATTTAGATCTCCTTCACTCTTTTTCTCACTGCAAAACGAGTACTGCTTCTGTTATGTACTTTTTTTCATCTCAATTATTTATTATTGAATTAGCTTTGGTGTATCTTGTGTGCCTACTTGCTCTTGTTTCCTCGTACTTCCACCTTAAGTCACTTGTTCCATTGTCTGTTTCAAAATTATATTTAGTTGTCCAAAAGTAAACTCCATTTTGAAATAAATTGAGCTGTTTCGGTTTTCCCAACAGACTTAGGGTACCGTTCGATAGAGCGGAGCAAGCCCTAGAAAGACAACCAAGGATCTATCTAAGTCGTAATCCAGGCAAATCAACAAATCAAAACTTTCCAGCTATCCTGAAAATTGGATCTTCTTCCAGAAATTCCTACGAACTTCCAACTTGGTCTTTATATAATAGACAGACAGTATGAAGTACTCAAAAATCTATTTGATGGATTTTTTCTTTGCGGGGCTCGAAACTGAGAAACAAAGATGGTCCGAAAATGCCTCAATGCAACTTAATTCGGGTCTTTCATGTGAAACTTGGTATTTCTCGATTATAAGACATATAGGAGGGTAAAGTTTCATATACGTAGTAAGGCTTGTAGTATACAATGACATATGTGGGAGGGGCTGGGGCGGAGATTGTCATTTTGGACTATATTTTTCTTTCGTTTTCTTTTTCGGAAAAAATCCAGTAAAGGCATATTTGAGTACTACTATGCGTCTACTATGTAGTGAGCAAGTTGGAGGTGATGTTCCTTGTGATCAAAGTGCAGCTAATATTGTCATGAGGGAAAACAAACAGCATTGTATCAGTAGCGTTCGCTTTTTCCAAGAAAAACTAGCTTAGGGTTGGGATTGAGTCTTAAGGGTAGTTTGGGGAGGGAGGGAAGAAGGGGGTTAAGGGTTAAGGGGCTAAAATTGGGCCTTATAGCTTAATTAGGGGTAATTACAGTATATTCAATTTGGGGCTGGTTGCAGTATGCCAGGTGTGAAAATGCAGGGTCCGGGGCGTAGGACTAGCTAAAGTGTGCCAGAGGTGTGAAAATGCGGGGTCTTCGGGCGTGGGACTGGTTACAGTATGTTAGGTGTGAAAATAGAAGGTTCTCGAGGCAAAATAGGCTTTGGGACTTACGGTGCACAAAGTTCGGTATGTTCCGGGTACAAGTTCCGTCACGCCGCTGGGAAGATCTCGGCCGGTATCGAAAAGGTCCCCGGATGGATCCGGTTCGTTGCAGCGTTGGTTTCGCAAATTTACGAATTCCATTGAGCCTTTGAGGATCAACTCACTGCTGCTTGCTTTTTTTTGTATCTGACAGTTTCTATACCCTTGGATAAATAACAAACCACTTCTTATATATACTTCTCATTCTTTTAATATGCTCTGCAGGCATGTCCAAACGATTTTGAGTCAAAGCCTGTAATTTACCAACCAACCTTTTCCTTCCAAATCATCTCCTTCGCCCTCCACTTCCTTTCCTCTCTCTTTCTGACGGTATAGAGCGCACAACAACAACAAACTCATTGTTAGCATAAATAGTCTTCAAGAACTGCTGAGAGTGTGAGAGAAAGGCAATTCTGATAAACCCCCTCCAGTAAAGTTGAAGCATGTGTCCATTGGCCTGTCAGAGCGCTTTACGATTAGAGCGGGATTTACCCATCATTGCCTATTTCGAAGGGCTTCAAGAGGGGGGGGGGAGCACGCGTAAGGCGACATTGCGAAAAATGGAGGCTGTGTATCATACGTCGCAATGACTTTCACGGATTTCCACTTGTGGTATTGAGTAATGTATCTGTCCCCACCCCCCACCCCCGTAGTCCCCCGGGGTGTCACTTTGACATCGGAGAGTTTTTGATAGGCACAAAATTGGGGATTGTCGCCTTCCGCACCACACCCCTTCAAGAGAACGGAGTACGAAACCTTTTATGCTAATTTAGCATGCACTTTTTGACTGGGGCGGTACATCTGTCAAATCGTAACGCAGGTGTCCTAAGGCTAGCTCAGAGGGTCGCACCTGAGACTGCCTTCGGCGAGAGTCGCAATGCCACCACGTGGCTTCGCTTAATACAAAGAATAGAAAGCCGAACCCTTACCATTTGTAAACGAATCTCGAAAGTTATGTGATTGGAGAATCGGATCAGCACAGTTGGTATTCAGCTAAAGCGTTTCCATCTAATTCGTGAGAAAGTTGGGCACGGCTTTCACATAGGTTTCAAATATTTTTCAACCTTAGTTTGAGTTGCCTCACATGCATGTGCACACCTTCGGTGTCATACCAGCGCGTATTCATTGTAAAATAAGGTAGTTGCTTTTTTGGGAAATTCGCACTGTACGATAGTATTAAAGGCAGTGGGTAATGGTCCTCTTCTGACTGTTTAAACTGTCGTGAATGTCTATATGAAATTTCTAAAATAGAATTCGACTATGAACTACTTTGCAATTTTTCGCATCTCCGCCCGCCGACTCTGCAGAAACGATATCTTCAGCGCTTTCTCCTAGCTTGACCAGATCGTGCAAGGTTACCTGAGAGATCATGGGATATCTATTCGAAGGTGAACAAGCCCAGTGCTGATTTACAGATTATCTTGAGGAAAGGACGAGCTTGAGGGACCTGACCTGGGTAGTAGCAGAAGAAATAAACGAAAGTTTGCGTTCAGCGATGCCTTACTTATGTCACGGAACCGTCAAGATTATACTTCGAAAGGAATAACAAAACCACTTTTGGTTTATAGAGAAAGATTTTGCTTCGATTAAAAGACACCTTGCGATGATTACTTCGCCAAAATCCATAAATTTCTTTGGAAAGAAAGCAAATTGTTCCAGGCAGAGCTCAGTTACTTTAAGTGAGCTGAGATATCAAAGTACTAAAGATAATTTCTTGTTTTACATCTTAAGCGAAGTAGTATGGCAAAGATTACGCTTTGGAGTTAGTTTAACACATTCACGACAAGGCCGATTTTTTGATTACCGCCGTTTCGGACTAGAGCCTTTTTTGCTTTGTCAAACTTACGACCCACCCGTGGGTCGTAATGTCCGAAATGGCAGAACACGTACGACCCGCCGTTGGGTCGTATTGTCGTGAATGTGTTAAGTTGCCAGAGGGTGGTTACCGTCATAAGCTCAGCGCTTTGCCGATACTAGTTTGAAGTTAAAATCTACACAAAAGTTTGCGTACTCTCATGCTCATGAAACCAAGACCGAATATGATGAGGATGAAGGACGGAAATGGAGGAAGATGTGTGACTCTTTGACCCGACCATAATCTAATTCGCCCTTTGATTTTTTTTCATGAGAGTGAAAAAAAGAGGATTTCCAGTTGCAAGGATTTTTACAGCAACTTCAGCAGAAAAAAAGCTGTCTACAAGTAGGGCGAAAAAGCAACAGTTTTGAAGAATAAAAGCTCTTGAGCTTTACGTCTTCGTCGTAGTTTCTATCAAACCAGCGGATTGTGATTGCTGTTGTCTGCATGATTTTTTGCCACTTATTCCATGAAGCTCCGTTTCAATTTTATTTTCTGTATATGACTCAACACGTTCTATTTTGGCATGTTTTTGTTTTCAGCTTCATAATGCCGTACAGATGTGCTAATAAAACAGGATTAGTGTCTTTATTGCAATTGCAGCAAACAAGCAATGCCAATATCGGAGGTATATAATCCAAAATCAAAAACGACTTCTGCTTTCCCGACATCAACAGTAATGCATTTTTTGACTGAATCCGCAAACGATTTGTACGCTTTTTTGAGACATATCATCTTAAGCCATTGTAAGGACAAGAACAACTGAGGTTTTATGTCATAAGTTTGAGTTTGAACCTAGCGTCATAGAACGTTACCCAAGTTTCCATTGGGACCTTAGACAATAACGATTTTTACAAAAAGCAGTGTACTTCTAGATACCCCTGTATAGCCTCAAAGTGCAAAGTATTAAGTAGGTTGATGCAAATTTTTTAGGGCAACTTTTTTCCACCAAAACTTCTTCTTTGAAATAGAAGTAGCAAACCATTGAGAAGCTTTACATGCTCTATCTAACGGTGGTTGAAGCGGGCTTTCACCTTCATCGGCCGTTGCGGTCTTTCTATGGCCCATAAATATTCTGTAAAGATAAGACTAGAGCATCCTGCTATCACTTTTTCCATATAAATCCAGCTGTTCGGTTAGCAGAAAATCAGAAATTCTATATTCGGGACTTTTAGGCATACTGAAAGTGTTGAAAAAAACTGGCAATTTTATTTAATTCTTTTCCTTGTCGCAGATTTTTTTTGTTCAAACCATTGTAATCGTATTTTGTACCACTGATTTTGTACTACTGGCTTGCGGCTACAAGATAATCCACGTATCATTTTTACTAACAAACTTTGAAGGAAGTTATGAATTGTCAAAAACAAGGTTTCACAAATAAACCTTTTTTGTTTTTCAATCCATCTTCTACCCGTTTGCGACGTGAGTACAAATAAATCTAATTTGTACTGCAGAAGGAAAAAATTATAGCACGTCAAAGTCAGAATTCGCAAAACGGCCATTATTTTTGCATCAATTCAATAACTCGCTATTTTGAACTTTTCTTTTGGTATCGTAATCTCTAGGCCTCGAACTAATATAATCTACAATTCCTCTGTAAGAGTGTGTAATTTTGAAACACAAAAAAAGCTTTTTCTATCCACACGACTATTTTAGATTTCAATTTCAAAAATTTTTCCATATCACTCACAAGCAAAAACATCACTTGGTTGCAAATAGGATTGCCTTTCTCCAAGAAAAAAATTTTTTTCTAGTTGAAACAAATGAAGTACTTGATCATAATGACTGTTACCATAGCAACAGCTGAAGCATGTTCATGCTTACCACACTCTACCATGCAAGAAGCATTCTGTGCATCTGACTACGGTAAGTGAGATCCAAGCGCAAAGAATTCATTGTTAAACTTCATCTCTCGAAAATTCACACAAAAACAACGGCATTTTCAGTTTCTCGCGTAAAAGTCATTTCTAAGAAAGATGAAAACACTGCTAAGGAATATTCGCCTATGAATGACATCATCTATAATGTCGAACACATCCACATTTACAAAGTAAGAGTGCTATCTTTTAATTCGAGTGGATTGGCTGGTGGAAGGCGGGACCTCGTGACCTAGTTAAGGCTGAAAGATGATAAGAGCGCACGCGCGCGAGGGAGATGCAGACTACGTCGCGGGCGCGAGCGGCCTGAATTAAGTCCCGGAGCCCCCCTCCTCCTTTGAGCCGCCAATCCAGTTGAATCAAAGGTTACCTCATTTTCAATTATTTGTGAAATATTTCTCTTAAGAATGCTTCGGAAACGAAAGTATTGCCGAAAGAAGTAGCAACTGCAGCTGACATAGGAACATGTGGATTATTACTTCAGAATGGGGAGGAGTATCTGCTTGGAGGTCAAGGAGCTTTCGAATATTATTTTGCCTATAATCTGCTATTTTCAGGCACTGTGGAAAGTGATGGTCATCTTCACGCCCATCTCTGTGGTATAGCTTTGCACTGGACAGAAGTCTCACCAGAAGACAAAGCTGCTTTTGGTTCTTACAAATGTCGGACAGCTAAGGGCGACCATGATATTCTCTAGCCCCACTCATTGCTAAACCCTGCTAAGAATATATGAACACCAGATGATCCAAAACATGGAAAGCTTACGACAATTGTTTGATTTTTGCAGAATCTTTGCCATTAATTCTAGAATTTTCGATTATTTAGGCTTATCGCACCTAAAATTAAAACATTCTGATACTTTCACCATTGTAATTCAATTGTAGAGAGCTCTTGAAAATCGTTTGCCAAGGTTTTACGTTCTTTCTTAATCGTAATTATTAAAACGAATTCATGAACCTAATTTGAATATTTTTCTGTGATAGTTTAAATTTTTCTAGCATCAGGAACGGCTGTATCTATGAAGATAAGTAAATTCGTACCATGTGGGTAGAGGACATTAGGTCGCCGGTAGGCTCCGCCCACGCAGACAGCTAGCAAGGCAGTAAAAGCGAGAGTTGCAAATGTCCGCGCGGCACCGCCCCTTTTGGCAACCTAATGTTTTCTACCCTTACCATGTTTATCACTCGTAAATGAATTAGTATACAATTTCGTAGACAAGATAAAGCGTGATTAAATAAAATACTCCATTATCTCGTTGTTCTTGCCAATGCAAAGTTCCCTCCTCATCAATGGCTTCATGTGCATGTCTTTACAAACTTAGGAAAGGTTTGACTTTGGTATCTACCATCTCAGGACCTCACCAAAATCTGAAAATTATGGCAGAATATCATTCGAATGCAAGAGTACCAGATGTTGTGATGTAATTATCAGTTTATCATTCTTACAAGCGTCATTGCATACGCAATTAGTAACTACAACACTTGAGATAATTTGAAGACTTAGTGATTTGGAAATTGTTTTGAAGAAACTCCGATTAGCCAAATTATCGAACATGCTGAAAATTGTCCAAATAAAACAAGCATATCTTGACTAAAATTAACTACAACTTTGTTGGTGATTCCAGAACAATCGCACCTGAGAAGATGAGCAACAAGTGAAAGAGAGACAATGAGATCGTTCTGTACGGAGCAGAGAGCTAAAAAGTGACGGAAATTGTAAATCTTTACTTTATTAAATATTTTAAAAAGTGTTAATTGTAATTGCTTTTCGTAAAAAAGCTTTGATCTAGACGAGCAGTACACGTCTCACAATCAGAAACTCACTAAGGGATGCACAGATTGATACTGGGTTGTCCCAAATGTAAACCTTTTCTGATTGAATCATGTTGTCTTAACAAACTTGGGTACAATTCGATAGAGTGGAGCAAACCTTACAAAATGGCCATCAAAGATACATCTGAGACGTAATCCAGATTAAATTCGGAACAAAACTCAAAATTTTTCAACAATCTCAAAAATTAATCTTTTTCCGTGAGTTCCTACGGAACTTCAACTCGGTCATTATACAGTAAATCGAAGCACCCAAAAATGCATCTGGTGGATATTTTCCATGACTCAAAATAAAAAAAAATAGCCCGTATATGCAACAATGTTACTTTTTTTTTCGAGTTTCTATGTTAAACTTGATATCCCTCAATTACTAAGGTACATAAATAATTTTAGGTCTATTCTATTTGAGGCTTGTAGCATACAATCAAGGTGTGGGAGAAGTTGGGCGGAGTTTGCCGTTTTTGGAGTATCTTTTTTTTCTCGATTTCTATGCGTGATGTCTAATACTGTGTAGCGCTTTGGCGTAGCATTTGTAGCGTAGTTTGTAGCGCTTGCTTCCTATCGAATGGCAGCTTAAGTCTGCTAGGAGAACAAAAGCAGTTTGATTCACTTAGAAAAAGCCTTATCGCCAAAGGACAATAAGAAAATTTAGAAGTGTCGTCAATGGGGTTAGTGTAAATTATACATACTGTATATTTATTGTTTATTGTTCATCGTTGTTTGTCCGTTTCGCTTTGTATTGTAGTGGTTAGAACAGTGCCCCATGTGATCAGCCGGACAAGCCAGCACAACCTCCTCCATCAACTTATCACTACTATCTTTAGTCAACAATGACTTCACAAGTCAATAAGTCTGAAGAGTATTGATATTGATGGATAGTGAGGTCGAGGATTCTCTCCACAATAGTCTGCTGTGAGGATGCAAGTCTCCGGCTTGATAGGCATTACTAAGAAGTCTCTGAAGGAATCACAATTATCCTAGAAAGCAGTTCGAGGATTGACAAATCTCTGGGAACACTCACAATCTACATCTTTATTTTTTGTAGTTGTACTGAGATAAAGCTTGGTTGCTCAAGTCTGAGGTTCCATACAGACCCGCGTGGCAACCCCAAAGCATCCTCATTAGCCATCCCTTTGCTACAGCCCTTTACTTTGGAGACAATACAAGGGAAGGATACCAACATTAGTCGGCGATTGAAGTTGAGATGTATATCTTTAGATGCGCCTTTGAACGCTGATTCCAAATCCGCTGTCCTTTTTTGCGGAGTAAGTTTTTGAAAGAGTTATGAGCAGAGTAAATGTGTCAGTATTTTGTGCCTTCTGCGCTAGCCAGCAGAGTCGAGGTTCGTTCGTTTCGCGGCCTTGAGGGTTCTCATGCTGCGAGTCTAAGACTAGGTCTAGACTGACTAAGGGCCGCATGCACTAACCTCCCCGCTGGGGAGGGGATTGCAGCTCAAAAGAAAGCTTCATATTCTGAAGCTCCAGATGTCTGAATTTCATGTTGTGTACCTATCCGTAAGTATTCCTACTACCCTTCACTATGAACATGTTGAACAGGAGCGAGAAGCTGTACAAACCGCATTTTCCAGCTTTTGTATGATCCCTGATAATCCCCGGCGCTTTTCTTTAGAGTCATTTTTCTTTCTCCGAAGTTAACGAAAACCTTCCAAAGTTGTACTAAACATCTAACACAACAGTGCTAAGCATGTTGCTGATGAGAACAAATGAGTTTTTGAAAAGTCGAATTTTTCGGTAAACCTCAAATTTCGACCTGTGGATCATCGAAAATTTCATGACATCAAAACATCATTTGTTTTTATCAGCAACATGTTTAGCATTGTCGGGTTAGACAATCTGCACAACTTGGAGCTTTTTCGTTAACTTCGGAGAAAGAAAAATGACTTTGAAGAAAAGCGCCGGGGATCATCAGGGATCATACAAAAGCTGAAAAATGCGGTTTGTACAGCTTCTCGCTCTTGTTCAATATGTTCATAGTGAAGGGTAGTAGGAATACTTACAACTTAGGTACACAACGTGAAATCCAGGTATTTGGAGTTTCGAAATATAAAGCTTTCTTTTAAGCTGCGATCCCCTCCCCGCGGGGATGTTAGTGCATGCGGCCCTAAGTGGGAGGAGGCTCTTGAAGGTGAGTAATTCAAAGAGCCTATAATCCGTTTTCAGACCTCTGATGACGACGACATTGTCGAAACGTAAAGTCAATAAAGTCTTCACCACAGAATCTGAAGGCACAAAATACTGACACAATTACTCTACTGACATCTTATCATGCCCAGATTCAAAGGCAAAAGAGCATTTAACTTACTAAAGTTATAAGCGTTTGAATGTTCAAGTTTGTCAAGGTTTAGGTGGCCTAAAATTGACGAAAAACTGTACAAAAACACTGGGAAGTGGAAAATTAGCTTTATATTATATTGTTTGCAAGGAAGGAACAAAGCCTGCTTGGCAAATTTGAACATTCAAACGCTAATAACTTCTTTTGGAGACCTACTCACACGAACGGAAAGCAGATTTGGAATCATCCTTCAAAGGCGCGTTCAATGATACACATCCCATCTTCAATCGCCAACTAATCTTGGTATCCCTCCCTTGTTCGAGAAATCCTGCTTGAGGCTTACTCAAAAACTTAGCGGAAAGCTGAGGCCTTAACAAATGCTCCTCTGATATTTCATTTAAAAAGCAATTTGTAGCTCAACGTCTGCCACCCTGACTCACTTCGACACGGAAGCTTCCGATCTTTGAGCGTTATTGTAATCTTATATATAAAGCTGAATGTCTGTTTGTCTGTATGTATGTATGTCTGTCTGTCTGTCTGTGTGTACGTATGTTCCGAATAGAAAATTCCATTTCTGAACCGATCCGGACCAAACTTGGCACACATACACTTCGGGCCCCGGCGGGTGTCATAGGCTACTTTTCGTCATCGATCGATATCGATTTTATCGATTTTTTGCAAAAATTGAGTTACGGGGCTGGGAGTTGGCACAGGGGGGGGGGGTAATCGAGCATGCTGATCACCCCCGTGGGGGTGATCAGCATGCTCTATTACACCCCTCTGCCAAATTTCAGCCCCCTAGCTCAATTTTTGCAAAAAATTGATAAAATCGACATCGATCGATAACGAAAAGTGGACTGTGACACCCGCCGGCCCGAAGTGTATGTGTGCCAAGTTTGGTCTGGATCGGTTAAGAAATGGAATTTTCTATTCGGAACATACGGCGGAGTCGGGTAAGCCAGCTAGTAATATTTATTTCCAGCGCTCTGCAGATTGTTCTGTTTAACAGCACGCATGCGGAAGCAGACTTTGGCTTGCTTTATCAGTTAGACATCCATCACTCTTATTGAGAAATGCATGTTTTCACTTTCTGTGATTATTTTGTTTAGTTTATTTTTATCATCATCAAATGTTTATACGGTCAAGGCGCACCATACTCATCACTTTTAACAAACATAATGTCATAATGAATAGCTAAACGGTTTGAGATACACAAGTATTTTTATATTGAATCAGTTATGGCTTCTGGTGACCCCTTGCGCCTATCCACGTATTTTGGTGAAGTCAATGTGTTTTTTTACATTTCATAAAAAACTACCACGTGTGTTTTATAGACAACTAAGTGTGACTCATCGTGATGTTGATTGATATGTGTGCACTGGCGGTCCCAAAATTTTTGCTTGGAGGAGGGAGGCAAAAAATTTTTTCCGGATGAAAGAGCGTGGCATTAGCCGTTTACACCAATTTTTGAGATGTTTTCTAAAACTGTTAGAAGTTGATATTTATTATAAGAAACATCGGGGGGAAACCAGAAAACTAACAAATCAGGACCTCTTTACAAATATGTAAAATTGAATGGGAACTAGCTAAGCATTTGATCACCATATCGATTGAGCATGATTCTTCTTATATCCTTTACTTCTCAAATAAGTTCTCAAACCCTCTGCAACACATCTTAAAAGTTTGAGAATATCGTTCAAAATACTTTATATTCTGTCCACATTTGGAAACATCATCTCCACATCAAGCCAAATGTTTATATTATGGAAAACGTTTACAGCACCTTATGTTTATATCAAAAATGTTGCAATCTATACCAGTAAACTCATCAAATAGCCATTCGAAACGTCTTTAAAGCAACTTGGTTGCTAATTATAATATAGTAGTAGGTCTGAAAAAATTCCTTTAATGAGATTCTAATTTTTAGCTGCTGGCAGAAAATTCACAACTGGTTTGAAAACGTTTGGCACATTAGGGTCCAAGTTCAATCCCTGGAAGTACAGAAGGTAACCTTTAGCGATAGGTTCTGCTTGCCAAGCCATATATATTGCAGAAAAAAAATTCAGGCGCAGTGATTCACTAAATTTTTCTAAAATAAGCAGCTTTGAAAATTATGTTACCTCTATCATCCTTACAGCAAACACATTTACATCATACATTTTTCGTGTTCGACTATGAAAAAATTATCTATGTTTTTATGGAGACCAAACTTTGTAAATGTGTTCGTCTGTTCATTCGTTCGTTATAGAAATGCTCGCTGCACCGATTTAGCTGAAACTTTGAACAGATATGTATTCGACCCCGGCGGTTGTTTGTTGTTCAAAGCTACTTTTTAAGACGATTCGCTTGGCCATTCTATTGATTTATTGATTTTCAACCAATTGTAATGAGAATGAATCCCTTATCGACCTAGCAATTCGTTTACATTCAATAAACTAAGTATTTCCCATTTATCTTCTTTGCCAAGGAAGCTCGGTCAAAAGAAGATTACTGAAGTTCTGCATTACGTATGGTTGTCATGCTTGCAAAATCATTTGATGTACTTAATTGGTCAGAGCAAAGCAAAGATGAAACCTAGTTTTAAGCTCCTACGATTTTGCGATCCGTTCGCGGTCATTGTCCTGTACCTGCTAAAAAGCAATAGAAATGATCAGTAATTAGTGTTTTTGAAGGGCGACGAAGTAGTAAATGCAGTCCTAACCCTGGTTCAGTTCTTTAGGTTGAAATAAGCTTCAACCAGATGACAGAGTTTAGGCATATGGAGGCTACACATACTGTATAGTCTCCATACGCTATCTTCAGTAGCAAACCAGAAAAACCGATATAAAGGGATTTAGTCACTTGGGAAAACCAAAAAATATTGAGTTCTGTTGACGTTACCGTTTTGAAGGCCATGCTTTGAAAATGAACTGTATTGGATGAGAGGGAGATGACAGCTAGATGTTGAGAGCCTTTCAAAATAGAACCATTTTTCTACCACAGATTTCCGATGCCCTCGAAAAGAAGGTGTATCGTGAAGGTTATTAGATAAGAAAACCAACACTAATCAGAGCAACTAAAGGAAGCATGCTCCTTACCAAAGTTTGCTAATTGTGAAGAAAATGAGTTAATCATATTTTTGTTGTTTGTGTTTTGTTAACATTGGTTTGACTCTTCAAAGAATCAAGTTTCTGCGCACAGTGAATTTATAGGCTGTATCAGCCAGCATCGGTCCCGCGCCAATATAACTTGCGACGACGCACCGTCGCATGCGATGTGTCTTAACGTGTAGCACAATTCGCACGCGTCACACCGCACCGTCGCAAGTTGCCGCAGGCGCGACGTCGCATGACCGATGCTGGCTGGTACAGCCTATAGTTGACATGATATTTTAGCAGTATCATGAAGACTTTATGGACTTGTTTTTGAACATAAAACAAAAGTGGGTACAAGCACTTGAGCCGAACGGAGACGGATATGCCAGCCAATAATACTAGTTTCTAGATTCGAGATATTGAAGAAAATGATGCTCATCATCGTTCTTGCTTTGAGCACAGCAGCAGTCGAAGTCGATTCATGTTCTTGTCTACCGTTCAACTCACTGGAAGAAGAGTACTGTTCTTCAGAATTTGGTCAGTGAATTTTATCAAAACAAAAATGAATGCCATAATCTGCCTAACAAAGCAATATTTTTCTAGTTTCCCATTTGAAGGTTACTTCTAAAGATGACCCAAACCCAAAAGAGGGGCCTCGTTATTTAGAGGTCACTTACGATGTGGAATATATCCATGTGTATAAGGTATGTTCAATTTTCTTTGATACTTTCGCAAAGATCGTCTTTTAGAATGCATCATACATCAAGGAAATTCCAAAAAAGATCGTAACAGCAGGTCATGAAAGCACATGCGGAGTGTCTCTCACCGAGGGCGGCGAGTATCTAGTTGGAGGTAAAGAAGCCTCCAATTTCAATTTTTCTATAGCGAAAAATTCCAGGCGGCGTAGGAAATGGCTATATTTATGCATCCAGCTGCGGCCTTTCTTCGCCTTGGGCGTATGTTCCACCTCGAGACAAGGTTGCTCTGAGCAGATACAATTGTTCGACTGTGTGATATTGCGTAATATTCCGTGGTATGTGCCCTACTAAACAACTAACAATAAGTATGACTCATCTCGATATTAACCGAATGTGTACACCAGTGGCAGCCCTAGAATTTCCGCTCGGGGGGGGGGGGGGGGAGAGGGGGAGGGGCCAAAAATTTTTACGGGTGAAAGTGTGTGGTTTAGCCGCTTCCTGCGGGAGTTAATGGCGAGTGTCTGAGATGTATCGCAATATTAGAAAGTACTAGCTGGCTTACCCGGCTCCGCCGTATCCGGACCAAACTTGGCACACATACACTTCGGGCCCCGGCGGGTGTCACAGTCCACTTTTCGTTATCGATCGATGTCGATTTTACCGATTTTTATCGATTTTTTTGCAGAGTTCACCTACAGGGCTAGGAGTTGGCACAGGGGGGGGGGAAGTGAGCATGGAGATTCCGAATACAATATTAGTTTTCAGGATCGTCCATTACTTTTATCGATTTTATCGATTTTTTGTGAAGTTTGACCTGCGAGGCTGGGATTTTGCACAGGGGGGTAATCGAGCATGCTGATTACGAACACAATATTAGTTTTCAGGATCGTCCATTACTTTCATCGATTTTATCGATTTTTTTTTGTAAAGTTTGACATGCGGGGCTGGGAGTTTGCACAGGGGGGTAATCGAGCATGCAGATTACGAATACAATATTAGTTTTCAAGATCGTCCACTACTTTTATCGATTTTACCGATTTTTTGAAAATTTGAGCTAGGGGACTGGAATTTGGCACAGGGGTGTAATCTAGCATGCTGATCACCCCCCTTGGGGATGATCAGCATGCTCGATTACCCCCTGTGCCAACTCTCAGCCCCCTAGCTCAAACTTTGCAAAAAATCGATAAAATCGATAAAAGTAATCGATAATCCCGAAAATCAATATTGTTTTCGGAATCCCCATGCTCGATTACCTCCCTGTGCCAACTCCCAGCCCCGTAGCTCAAACTTTGCAAAAAAATCGATAAAATCGATAAAAGTAATCGATAATCCTGAAAACCAATATTGTATTCGGAATCCCCATGCTCGATTACCCCCCTGTGCCAACTCCCAGCCCCGTAGGTGAACTCAGCAAAAAAATCGATAAAAATCGATAAAATCGATATCGATCGATGACGAAAAGTAGCCTATGACACCCGCCGGGGCCCGTAGTGTATGTGTGCCAAGTTTGGTCCGGATCGGTTCAGAAATGGAATTTTCTATTCGGAACATACGTACAGACAGACAGACAGACATACAGACAGACAGACATACAAACAGACATTCAGCTTTATATATAAGATCTACCATTTTGAACACTTGCGAATTTTATTCTCAACGAGATTTTCGCACGAAATATGCAAGGTCAAATTTTCACCATAAGCAATCTCTGCATACTGGAACTGGAACACCAAAAACACTCGTTTCTATTTTGCTAATCACTGGAGGTTCCCTGCCTTACTTTAGCTTTTTATCAATTTGCATTTTTATGGTAATAAACGATTTGCACGAAATGGCCTCTGTTTGTCAAATTCATCTGATCCTTTAGAAGTTCCATCCATGCGGTATTGGTGAGTGACCGTACCTACCATCCAGGGCAAATTTTTTGCTTTGAAGTTATTACGTGTTTTACAATGTGTTCTTTCAAAATCGTACAGACCTTTTCCATGGAAACTTGCATGTGCTATCATCGCGCAATTAGAAATCTGTTTGAGGGCATTACCACTTTACCAAATATAAACAGCCGTCTTACAAGTGTTCCCGTTGTCCGCAAGTTGACAATGATAAACGTTGTAAACGACGCTTCTTTTTAATGATCTGTCGTACTTTGAAGCGTTGAGGGGTCGGTAGCGGTAATTATGTAACAGTGGCGGTCCGAGGGGAGGGAGGGGGGCGTCCTAAGTCGAGAAATTTCTAAAAATTACTTATATGGGCTATAAAAATGCGCAAGTGACTTGTTTATACTTGTAAGTAATTAAAATAATTTCTAAAATTTTTAAAAATCCAAATTAGCCCTGTAAATTTTTTTTGGGGGGGGGGGGAGGGGGCATGGGCCCGCAAAAATTGTGGGAAGAATCCCAAAAAATTTTTCGGAGTGGCGTTAGCCTTCACTCCGAAAAAAAATTTTGTCGCCCCCCCCCGTAGGGAAATCCTGGGACCGCCACTGCTATGTAACTATGCCAATCCGCACACAACCCATAGTTAAGCGTTATATGCAGTCATCCAAAAGAATTTCCCAACTACAGCACGAGTGATATTTTGCGAGATTTTATGGAAAGACTGTGTCGTATAAATGCTGAGAGGAGATCATCATGCACATTAAGCGTTCTGTACGTTTCTGTGAAAGATCATGGGGGAGATATCTATGGGCGAGATATTAGTCTTGAAAAAACGGAGAAAGGGTTGGGAGGGTTACGCTCACATAGCCTGGGTATGCATACATTTCGCTTCAACCAAACTTCAGGAGTAGGGTCAAGATTGTGATACACATATCTTGAAAAGAAGGAGTTGTCAAAATCTGCTAAAAGTTTGTCAAAAACTATTGGGAGAACAAACCAGGACTCACTGAGAGAGATCCTGAGAGGTGGGAAGAGTGAGAGGGGGCAGGAGAACCTGGCAAGAGATTTTTAATCTCTTTCGAGAAGTTACCCTGTTCAAAACTAACATAGCCTAGTTTAGGCAAACTTGGCACAGTTGCAGTCATTTTGAACATTCCGGACTGAAGTCACCATCCCCTCAAAAACAAGTAAGCTTTGCAAGATTGAACAGGAGTAATAACTGCATTTCTGTACTGATACTCTCTTTTGTGAAATATTTTCTTATAGAATTAATCTTCTACAGCTTCGAAATTATGGAATAAGTCAAACATGTAGAGTTTATTCCAACAGTCATCCTTTATATAGCGAAAATGGTGACGACATGATTCTGGTCTCTTCTTAAACGTTCACATATCTTGCGCACATGGAATCTTCCTCATCGCGTTGAAGGGTGTAGCAAACATCGTCAGGATGACAAGTATTACTAGAGTTTCCAGTGATGAACAATCTGCATCCGTCCACAATCTGCGATAAATTGATATCATCTCTGTGCTAGTGTTTTATATTAGCTTGCAAAGGAATTTCTTAGGCACTTGCGAGATAGGACAGACTTTTTTTATTGGCTTTACAGCATTTCATTTCGGACACAAGTATGCGGAAATGTAAAAATCACAATCTAGCACTTTGTTCTGTCCTTCGGCAGCATTGTCTCAGGCATAGTACGCTGGAGAGCTCATATGAGGTGGTCGTATAGGAAACTACTGGAGCTGTTACGAGGAGAAACTACATATGTTCCTAAACAAGGCCTGCAAGAAAAGGTTTAAAAGATAGGGAATATGGCAATTTCACGCACAAACAAATCATTCCGTTTCCGAACAACTTTGAACTCCTTAGGCGTGCTATCCCATATCCGACGAGCGCGAAAAAAGTTGCTGTCAAAGGCTGATCTAACATCTTAGATTTTTTGTGGGCTTATTGCAAGATTCGAGCGCAGTTGGAAATTTGATTGAAGGCTCATCTAGTCGTTTGAAAGTATACAACTCTCTTCTTTCAGTGCAAAAAATTGGTAGGAGGAAGGAAAAATTGTGAAACAATCTGTGTTGAGAAGATTTCCTCTGTTTCTGCAAGCAGACTAACAGCCTTTGACATCCACTGAAAACGTAAGTGGTAAAAACCTTGAACTCCTCCAACAAAATCTTACGAAGAACGTGCATTGAAATTCAATACGAAGTTTTGAAAAGGCCGGAAAGCTATCCTTACAACTTTATATTGTACCTTCCATCGCTCAGCCTGGAGCGTGCTGTAGAGTTCAGAAAACAAAGAAAACTGGATAGGACTTGCTTGAGATTAAATTTCTTCGAAACAGAGAGCAACATGCCTTTCTTCACTATTTTCTTGGTGCAAAAAAATTAAAAGCTTCTTTGAATGCAAAATGTCTCACAATAGCCGTCACACCAAGAGATGCCCTATGATATCTATCTGGTTTAGAGGGTAAAGATTGTTTAACTGACTAACTTTTCTGTAAGCAAGTGCAATGCACGTGTTGTTCTCGTAGCATGCAGCAAAGCACCCACTCTCGTCCTTGATCGTCTCTTGATATAGCAAACCCGGTATGACCTCTACTTTGTCAAAAACGCAGGGTGAAATCCAACCAAACTGAAAGGAACAGAACTGGTAAGCGCCTGTGACATTGAGTCATTTGCTGAAAGTTTACCTGGATACAAAGTATGATGATGGCTAGCCACTCCATCGCCGCTTAGAATGGCTACCTCCGAATACAATGACAAAGACGTTTTGCTGGATGTCACAGATTTAAGAAAAAAACATTTGTTTCTAAGAGACGAGATATACGTGCTAATATAGTCGGTTGTTATTACTTGATTTACTTTCCAATTGAGGCTAGCCCATTCCTCAGTAATGGAAAGCGCCTCTGAAGAAATATAGAGAACATAGAGAAACTGGCAAGTGAAAACATTGCTTACCTTGTTGAAGTCAAGTTGAGCGGTGAGATTCAGGACGTGCCGAGTAAAGCAATGGCACTTCCCCCTGACAATAAGGTGAATAACTGACAGCGAAGTCAGCGGCTTGATATGTCGACAGTATGGGTAACAACCATACCTTCGATAGCCTAGAGACAGGGCGCTAAAAGTGAAGGTTGTTTGAACATCTGACGTCATAAATAGTGAAGGTTGTTTAAAGAATTTTAGAGAAGAGAAAATGACGTAAAACAAGTACAAAAAGCAAAATAAACTGCTGAAAACCAGATAGAAACGCTGCAGTAAGGTTTGAAATTTTTCATTTGGCCGCTTTTCAGAGTGCAAGCTTTCGCTCCAGGACCAGCAATTCGCAACAAGGGGTTTTGGTTTTTGATGCGTCCTTTGAATTTTTACCCCCGCATTGACGTCCCCCTGGGACGTTGTCTAGGTTGTTGCGCTTATTGCTTTGAGCAACAATCGCCCAAGCTGGAAGAAAATGGGGGGCGGGCGTTAGGTACCCAGCCGAGATGCGGGCGTTAGGTACCCAGTCATTAGTGGTATACACTAAGCCACGCCCCTTGTTGCTTCAACAGCGGGTACCTAACGATACACCGAATCCTAGCTGCTACAACAGCTCACCTAGCTTGCGAAAGCGATGGGGCTTGCGACCCACAGAAAAGAAAGAGTTCGAGGAAATCAAAAGAAAAAAGCGCGTATGAAAGCGCAAGTTTGTATGCAACGTTTTACTAGTACCTCTTTTTTTCAATTTTAGAAGCTTTTATGAGCACTTCACATAGTTCAAAAAAATGTGATAATCGGATCTAATTGATAATCTCAGCAATTTCAAAAAGTAAACTTTGTAGAATTCCAATATACCGATGCTCCTGGCAATTAGATGCGCGAAATAATCCTTTGTTCCAGAAAACTGCTTCAAATACATTTTTTTAACAATGAGAATTGGAATTGATTGGAAGAAGAGCTTTCACGAGAAATTGTCATCAAATATCGGAACTTTATAGTCTACGTGACCCATAATTTATGGGAAGGCACTAGTTCTGCTCCAATCAATGAAAGTTTTGGATCACAGAGCGATTTCGAAGCCAATTTTGATGGAGTGTGTGCCGATAGAATGAAACAGAAAAAAGCATCAAACTCTACTGAGAGCAATTTTTACAATCTCTTCAGTGAGCTATAAAAAAAATAGCTTTACTCGGCCAAACTGATCAGTTTATGCAGCTAGAAAAGAATGAATTCGAACAATTTATGATCCTCCAAAAAGGCACTACAGAGAATATTTACATGATAAAATAAGTACTTCAATGAAATTTTCGGGATGCGAAATCTTCCGAAATAAAGAAAATGAATGCGCTTATCATGTTCCATAAATCTGCTGGCCTCAGCAATGACCTAAGTAATACCCTAAATAATCGAGAATAATGTAGTTCACAATCCCTGTGGCAATATTAACGCGCCTATAACTTCACATCTCAAAACGAGGCCGACGACAATATGTGAAAAAAAATATTCCTTCAACTTATTGGCCAGGAACATCTCCGAAAGTGCCCTTTGCTTCATAAAAATCGTAAAATTTTGGTTTATTGGAATTCTACAAAGTTTCCTTTTTTGAAAATCCCCCTGACATTATCGATTAGATCAGATTATCACAATTTTTCTTGCCTATGTGGAGTGCCCATAAAAGCTTTAACCTGTTTTTAACTTTCATCACCGAATATCTGTGATTCTAATTGATTCAAAAAAGAAGCAGTAGAAGAACATTGCATACAAACTTGCGCTTTCATTCGCGCTTTTTCCTTTTGATTTCAAACTCTTTCTTTTCTGTGGGTCGCACGCACCAGCGCTTTCTCAAGATAGGTGAGCTCTTTCAGCAGCTGGGATTCGGTGTATCGTTAGGTACCCGCTGTTAAAGCAACCAAGGGGCGTGGCTTAGTGTATACCACTAATGGCTGGGTACCTGATGCCCGCTTGGCTGGGTACCTAACGCCACGCACCCGAAGAAAATCGATGCAAAAGCACTGGAATAGAGAAAGGTGAGGAAAAACGCATTTTTTACGGTTTTTCCCAAACCTTCCTCTATAATGGAAGAAGTAAGGGCTGAGTGGTTGTCTATATTATGAACAGAAGCAAGATCTATAGAATGCACGAAAAAACCGCGTGAAAAGAGTCAAACTAGGAAAAAAACAAGAGATTTTTGAAAACAAAGTTTTTGCCGATTTTCTTAATCAAATCAAAAAATTTGGTTTTGGGACGTTGTCAGCGTGAAAACAGAGATCAAGAGCTTCAAAATGATATATAGCTTGCTAAATTTGGGTTCGAAACAGCGAAGAAAAGGGTACCAGAGCCAAATGCGTACCTTCGATAGTCTAGAGACAGGGCCCCAAAAGTGAAGGTTGTTTGAACATCTGACGTCATAAATAGTAAAGGTTGTTTGAAGAAGATCAGAGAAGAAAAAATGACGTAAAATAGATATAAAAAGCAAGAGAAACTGCTGAAAACCAGATAAAAATGCTGCAATAAGGTTTGAAATCTTTCGTTTGGCGGCTTTTTAAAGTGCAAGTTTTCGCTTCAAGACCAGCAATTCGCAACACGGAGTTTTGATTTTTGATGCGTCCTTTGAATTTTTGCCCTCGCGCCGTCCCTCTTGTACCCTGCGACGTTGTCTGGATTCTTCCGCTCATCATTCTGAGCAAGTATCGTCCAAGCTGGAGAAAATTCGTTGCGAAACCACTGCAAAAGAAAAAGGTAAAGAAAAACGCATTTTTTGTCATTTTCACAAAAAACCGGCATAAGCAGAGAAATAAGCTCGGCGACGTTGTCTACATTATAGACAGAAACAAAATTTATCGACTACACAAAAAACTGCGTGAAAAGAGTCAAACTAGGAGAAAAAACGAGAGATTTTCGAAAACAAGGTTTTTGCCGGATTTCTAGTTTAAATCATAAAAAGGAGTCTTGCGACGTTGTCAGCGTGAAAATAGAGATCAAGAGCTTCAAAATGATATATAGCTTGCTAAAATTGGGTTCGAAACGGCGAAGAAAAGGGTATCAGAGCCAAATGCCCCGCGCCCCGCGTTTGGGGTAGCGAGGTAGCGCGCAGCGCGCGGAGACGCAGACGAGCAGCGGAGACAGACCAGAGCCGGCAGGGCATTTGGCTCTGGTCATTGATCTCCGCGGGGTCATATCAAAACCCCATAATATTATATATCGTTGTGATCCTCATGAGACGGCCAGGAGCACTGACAACGTCGCAGGTCTTGAAAATCACTCCATAACGAGATAGACCAGCATTTATGTGGCGACTCTCTGCGCAAGATTTCAGCGCAGTTTCTCGTTTTTATTGAATTCCAGCGGCTTTCATGAACCTCCAACGCTCAATCGCAGTCTACAGAAAGGTTAATTGATAAGTTTCATCCTAATCTCTAACTGAATTTTTGAAGAAAAACCTTCTTTTCAGCAAAAAAGGCCATAAAAACGCGATCCTTCGGTTTTTTGAGCTTTTTCTGGATGTCACTACTATATTTGCCTCATTCACATTCATCCTTACATAGTTAGTCATTAGTTATATCATAATATTCGGGCTTCGCCCCGGATGACTTCTGTATTCCTCTCCAAGTGAAGGTTGTGTCCTCTCATGACACTCAAAGTGAAGGTTACCAGAGTACGTGGCTCTATGTATCGAAGGTATGCGAAACCCTGCAACATTATATATCATTCTGATCGTCATGACACGACGAGGAGAACTGACAATGTCCCAAGCTTTAAAAATTACTAATTAACGAGATAGACCAGCGTTTTCGTGTGCGAATCTCTGCGCGAGAATTAAGCGCGGTTTCTCGTTTTAATTCAACTCCAATAGCCTCCCTAAACTTCTGAAACTCGGTTTTGGTCAAGTAAGAGGTCTGGGAAATTCTGTCCTGAATTTTGGCGAAAATTCCACAGAAATTTTCTTTTTTACCCATTGACGACGATGTGGATCACCGGTGGCCTACGCGCTTTTTGCTGCCAGGGATGATGTGGACCCCCGGTGGCCCACACCTCTTGCAGAGTTGTATTATTTGCAGGTCTAGTATTTTTTCCACATGTCAATATTTTTAAGAATTTTTTGTAGTCTTGTAACCTGTAGGCTCCGTCGTTCAAGAAATGTCAATAGTTGTTTACAAAGCAACGTTGCATTTTGTAAATAAGCACAAAACCTTCACACACTGAAAGTGTTGTGCAAAATCGCGTCGTCCCACAGCGCCTCCACGCAAAATTAGGCGTCGTCGTCAATGGGTTAACGTAAAGGCTACGAAAACGCAAATTCTCGGTTTTGCTAAAAGCTAAAGATATTATTCCCTATATTTGCTTCATTAACATACGCTTCGATATAGTCAAGATAATAACACCGAGGGCGAGGCCCCAGATGACTTTTGTTTTCTTCCAGATAAAGGTTGTGTCCCGTCATAGCCCTCAAAGTGAGTATCGAGGGTATGGTAACAACGGTGATGCAATCTTTTTGCTTGTTTATTTTGAGGTTTCAGGACGGAATCATATCGCTCTAGCGTTTGGCGCGTCATAGCCCCAGATGCGTATGACAGAATCAAGGCAACTACATGAACATTCAACATATTTTATGAGCCATTTTACGATTTTTTCGCTCATTGTGTTTGCTACAAATTTAGGTAAGGTGCGTTGACGTACAGTCTTGCAAGTATGCTTACCCAAGCTCGCTCTCAGAAAAGAACTCCCTCGCTCACCCCCTCTCCATTTGGTGCTG